TTTTCTCGCTACCTGTTTGCTACTTAAAAAGTATTTTTTTTTTATTTTTATGTGTCGTCTAGAATGCGTCGTAGAATGCGTCGGTAGTTATATTATTCTCTTTTGGTTGCAAAATGATGAGATAATTTCCTGTTAACAAACCTTAGATTTTCCTTATATTATTTCAATTCATACTTCTTTGTGTTTTCACGATTTACATTTTTTGTTGTGATTTCTCAGTTTCATTCAATCTGAGGACTTCTAAACTATGAGTGGTTTTCTAGTTCAGTAGGTGACCAGCAGGTCAACCTATCCTTTTCTTTAAATTTCTTCTGCAACATCTTCTGGTACTAACGTAAAGTCAAAAATCCATAAATCTGACAGAGTAGAGTTAGTCGACTGGCGGGGACCACTTCACGTATTATAAGCTCTCTAATCAAAACCATTTCGAGTTCCAATAACTACGACTATCGTTTAACTGACACACATATTCCGGATCACAACACCGTTCGGAATGTTGAACGTTACGCAATTTATCTTCAAGTTTAAAATATCGGTTGTTTGCCCTACAGACCTAGAGACTGATATTAAAAATGTATCGAAAAAACTGTTATTTTATATTTTAACTAGGTTTTATTAGAGTGCAACCAGATCCCGTTAAGATATTGAAATAAAAAGTACCTTATATTACTCGTTACTAATGCAACTTTCTACGTAAAATTTTCAAGATTAGTTTAGTATGATAGTGGTTCTATTACTGCCAAAAACACTATGAAGTTATAGATAATACAATCGTATTTTTTTTTGCTTAGTGGTTATACCTAAGCATCATTAGGGAACAATTTACTATAGACAAATTAACTACTAGAAAAATTAAACTCATGTATTATTTGAGATTAAAATCTATGTCTAATTTTAATTTAATTTATTTTTAGATTATAATCTAAATCCATTCAATCATCATAACCGTTTTAAAAACATCAACACTTTCTCATGTATAATTTGATCAAAAGACATCACTTAAGTGGCTCCACAAAAAGCACGTGTCCTCCTAACCGGACCAACACGGAATTAAATATCAAATGATAATAACCTCGACTTTTAACTTAGGTATAATAAAATAATCGACGGATAGAAACAATAGAGATAATGTTGCACTTTTTGTTATGTGAATGACATCTCCTGTTTTTTCTCAGAGTAGGTATGTAGTTGTTTTCTGCATGTTGAATTCACATAAATAGTTAATTATTAAATATTCTTGATACTTCAGCACTTTCGCATTGAATTCAAATTAATGTCTACAGTCTTTTTGTTTCGTCAAAACATCACGGAATTTGCGTATGATTATTTGTATTGTTAATTATTTTGTTAATACATTATTTATTTAATGCAAATAGTTAGCGAAGTAATAGTCTGACACTCGCATTCTTTGAGGTCACGAAACTGTCTATTTGAATATTATTTATTTCTTTTACAGTTAAAAATACTGTTTTTGTACCCATCAGTACTTGGGAATTTATTCAGTGTCACTGGCAGCGATAATTTTTAGAACACAAAAATAATTGTTCTGTATTAGAACCAAATCAATCGAGCAGCAGCTGGTGGGTCAATATTGTGCCAATTATTACATACATTATGTAACATTTTCCATAGTTTTTTCTATTGTCTTGGTAATAACATGTTGCAACGTAGCACATACCTAAGTGGTTCGATTATATTATTACATGGCAATAATTATAAAATTACCTTCAAAAGTGGACAGCAACATTCTATGATCCATAATATTTATGAGGACACCCTCGTTACTGTAATCACTTAAATGTTTCCTCGACAATGCCTAAAGCGTTTGTCAGTCTTTGAACATTTAATATTTTGAGCTTTAAACACACATTAAACCCATGTTACTCAAGAAGTTAATATTTATTCTTTTCTAATCACACTTACCACTCCGCTACAAATAATTATAGGTACAATTTTGAACTCGTTGAGTACCGTCATTATAGACACAATTATAGAACAATAGGTTGCGCTCACCGGTGACCGCTCGGTGTTTGACAGTTGCGTCAACAAGTGAAACAAGTGAATTTATTTCTGCAAATAGGCTACAAGGCAGCACTTTTACACGTCAATTTTATCAAGCGAACGATGAGGTCGACATTTTCTAACTGACTACTCTGAGAAGAAATGCCGAAACCAACTCAAAGGTCTGTCTCTTTTAAAGTCCAGACAAATGTGTATAAAAAATTATGTGTGAGAACCGTGCAAGTTCTTTCTGTAGTGGTCTTTTGAGGAACAAATAATGGCATTTACCTAACTCACTATTATTTTCTGAAATGTAGAATTTGACAAAGTGACCCGATTTAAATGATGTCAGTACATGTACGTGTTGTTTGGACAGTTACTTACATAATTATTGTGACATTCGTTTAATTTTATTAAAAACATCTCATTTGCAAAACAAATTCGCTTGATTATAATTACAGGTATGCTGAAATGTACGTACAAGTGCGCAAGTACAAAATTTACGTACACAAGTTAGCATTTAATGTCTTACTTGGGATTAATTTCTTAATTTAGGCAGGAATTATAAGGCAGGAGATAGTCATGACAAATATTTATCTACAAGACAATGGAATTGATAAAAGTTTACGACAAAGTCTTATGTCGTTATCAATCCCATTGATCGACTTTTCTATGCTGTGTGCAACTAGGGCTTAAGACATGTTTCTTTAGTGGTGTAAGGATAAAACAAAAAAATGAATTTAAGAAAACCAAGCCTACAAATATACTTAACAAAAATTGCTCATTCCAATAACCGTCCGTGTATTCATTAGAATGAGCAATTTTGAGCAAAAAACAAGAGTGTTATTTTTCACTTTTTCTACCTTAATTTGTCATCGCGTTATTATGTAATTCTCTCTACTCGTGCAAATAAACACGCAAAGGTTAATCTTTTAAATCATAACGACAAACAGTAACCTAGGGGTCAGGCAGTAATATAGACTGCCAATTAAATACCTACACTTGTAAATGAATTGATGACCATGTTATGCTAATTGTTTCATTGTTTGTTACTGTTTCTTATAAATGTTGATTATTCGACAAAACGTGACATAACAATATGCCTGTAATTTTGCAAATAATTTGTAAAATGTTTTCGAATAGGGTCTACATTTATACAATAAGTAAAATGGAAAACAGTTATTTTATATGCGTATGCCTGTTTGTTGGTGTGCTTTGTCAAATTATATATATATATGTGTATATATGGCTTAACCTTTGTAATGGATCGAATGATATATTTACTAACTATTTCATCCTGATTGGTTTATAAAAAGTTGACTTAATATTAAGCTTTTCGCTCAATCTGTTGAGTTTTTTAATTGGTAACATAATTCGCGCAAATAAAAGCCTGATTAAATTATTACCATCTTATAAAATTTCTAATGACCAAAATCACTGGCAAAAGTAGGCAATAAAGTTTATAATTGGTATCAATTCAATGCCACTGCAAGTAGCAAATAATACAGCATTAGATATCAGTAATCAGATGTAATTCAGTACCAAAAAGTTGTAAGTGCAATAATATTAGTATGCGCAAGTATTTTCTATTTTCTTCGTAGCATTGTTCTTTTTGTGCTAGCTGAAACTTGTTTACTTCTAGCTAGAACGCTATTACATTTTAATACTCTTAATTATTGCATTAACTCGTCGAGTACCGGTTTTGTAGACACAATTATAGAACAAAAGGTTGCGGTCACCGGTGACCGCTTGGTGTTTGACAGTTTAATCAAATACGGATTCCAAATCAAGACTGCCACATAATTAAGTTTTTTTTTCTTGTATCTTAATCGTATTTTTGACTCAATGTCGTCCAAAAGATGGACTAATTTTTAATTAAATAACTCAGGTTCACCAATATTTTTTATGTTATTTGCGAGAGTAATTGGATAACGCTATATATCATCAAGTTAACATAGCTGTGATAAGCAGGAACTGTCGAAAAATTATATAACATTAGAACTTTTTCATTACTTCAACTTAATAGTTAATTAAACCAATTAACTAAGAGTTGTTAACATATTTGTTTATTGAGGCTCCTATGTTAACAGCACGTCAGTTATTTTTGACTTTTACTTTGAAAGTGTGACGCATAAAACTGTAATTCATTTGAATAACAAAGTATTTTAGTAAAAATTAAACCATCAGACCTTGTTTATTTATAATAGCTAATCTTCTAATTGGGTAAGCAAAGTGGTGACTTTAATCAACCTTATGCTAAAAAATTATTACTATAAATACTAACAAATAACCCGATAACAACTACATAAATATTTACAGAGAATATGATTTTATGACATCTATCGTGAGACGTACTGAATTAGCTAACAATTAGGAGTTACTCACGTAATTATACTGAGTAAAGCTCTACTTGTTTCAAGTCACAGGGGGACTCTTCCTTACAGGCAGCTTGCGCCATCGCGGCGGTGTCGCTTCGCTTACTCTGTGACTCGAAACTAGTAGGGTTATTTTCAGTATATTTACGTGTATAACCGTAATCTTTAATTAAGTATAGAGAGTAGTTGCTCAAATTGGGAAATTACAACAATATTCCTTTTTTAACCAATAAACAAACTCCCGTAGTAATATGATTCCAATTGTCATGAAATTCAGCAAAAAGTTTATGCAAAGTAAGTTAGATTCATATGGGCTTCAAAGAATGATCAAACATTAACACAGATTACTTATTTTGAAAAATCAAAGAAAACCTTTTCTTTGTTTAAATAAAGGCTCTATATTCAGTTGATGTATGTCCACAATTTCCGCACCACAATTTATTTGTATATTAGGTAAAATTTACAGTAAAAATGTCGGTGTCACACAAATTTTATGGCACACAATAAATATTACTTCCAACGTAAAATTACTAAACTAGGTTATCAACGATGTCACATACTTTCTAAAACAAATCACATATTTCATGTAATAAAATCTCAAAAGAAAATATCAGAAACACTAACCTTCGCTGTTATTGATGCGAACGACGAAAATTTTTTCAAAAACTTTAAAAAAGGAATATTTTTAAAAATTCGAATCCTTTTTTTTGTATTTTTTTAAATCACTCGCGATTTTCGAGTCGCTCCAATGTTAGGCACGAGCGACTAGCGCGGTGATTTGAAGGCAACTGAGGCTGTTTTAGTAAGCCTGCGCGCACGCAACGGACAGTTCGAAACCTCCGGATGAATGAAGCCTAGTTTACAAGTAGTGGGCGTAGTGCTCACTGGCTTATGAAAATCTAGTTCAAAACTCATCATGTGTAGTATTTTGACTATTCATATAGTTTTTTTATGTAAATTTATTATACAGCGATAGGTAGGTAACTATACCAAAATATTTGATACGCTATTTATCATTTTGTATAAAAAACTATTGTGCTAGAGTTTGTTTCGATAATAAAACTGTGGAAAATAATTGAGAATAAAAAAACATAATCATAAGTATTAAAAAAATACAATTAAAAATGTTACAAGATTTGTTTAGAAATCAAAATTACTCAAAAGTTGTATGAAATAACTATGGATATTTATAGATATAATTGTAAACATTTTAATGATATAAGGGCCTTGAATTACTGAAACTTCTTTAATTTTTATAATCAGATAAATAGCAATAATTACATAAACAAAATGATAAAGAAATTAAGTAAAAGCACCCGATTCTATCATTCTATCGAACAACAGTTGTGATTAAATAATTTAATGACACGACCCGTCGTAAATGAAGGATTGTGCCAAATCCATATTTTAATATTATCTAATACATAATTGACTGTGAGGTTTTATTTAAAGTCTGACTGTCTAAATATTGATTGACTGGTAGGCACTTACGTGTTGTTGGTAAAATAAAGATTGATATGGAATTTAACATTATTATATAGATAATAACATGCAGAGCTTCGTAACCTATTCGAAAGAAAAAACATAATTATGAGCTCTGAAAAAGAGGTCACAAAAAATTATATCGAACAACAAAAAAGAGTTTCAGATATCAAATTTAATATCCATATCCATATAACCAAACCGTCTTCTCCAATGTCCCACTCATCGCACTGACTTCTTCCATTCATCTTTTTTCGTACAGGCAATTTTACTGTGGAATGCGCTCCCCCTGGATCTAATTATAATATTATAATTAAATTTATTTATGTATGCATATCTCCGAAATTCCGGGTTCTTACTACAAGTAACGTTAACTGAGTAGGACGTAAAGCAAAGGAAATCTTATTACGTAAAACCAATCTTTTTATTTTTCAATTCTTTGTAAACTAGTAAAAAATATAAGGCTTTTTTATTTTATTTTATTTATTTATTATCTCCGAAATATATTAGTTTATCTTTCATTGTTAAATAAAATCACTGCTTGCCTCTTGCACCTACCATTTACTCTTCTCTGCATCACCCAAAGGTCAGACTGGTAGAAAATGCCTGCGGCATTAAGTCCACCTTTTTGTACATTTTATGCATGAAGCATATTAAATAAATAAATAAAATTAATAAATATACTCCATTCAATTATAAAAAAAAATCTGATTAATTAGAGAGAAAATTTCAAAATGTGCCCTATATACCTCTATTGCGTGTGTGTGACAAAAATATATTTATCATAACATCCAAAATGCGCAAAAAATCTTTCATATTTGTTAAATAAGCATAATATAACAATTAGTTAAGCTAATCAACAATTGTACACTAATCCTTATTCGTTTGTTAGTCAATTATAAATTTCCTCACTGTCTATTGGTAATCGTTATAGTAAATATACAAGCAACGAGTACGTGCATATTAGCAATCGATACCTTTGCTATGCTAGGGTTGGTAGCTTTAATAATAAATACCGAATTCATAGCTACAATAAACCTTCGTCGTGTCGTTAAAATAAAAAAAAACTTTTTGACGAGGAACTTGACTAGGTTCAAGCCATGCTAGAGAGAGATAGCTACAATTTTTATTCATTTTTGAGGGGGGGAAATCATCCAATGACTTCTCCCACCTGGGTGAGACGAGACGAAGTGTCAGATTCTTACTGACTAAAAACCACCCCGTTCCTACTATTGCACTTAGAGCTGGAGCCCCGGCAACCCGTTAAAACTTCCGCGGAAATGATGTCGTGAGTTGGTGTTTAAAAATATATTTTTGACTTTACCTATTACAAGAAATTCATTAAAACAGACATTATGTTGTAATGATAGGTACATCGAATTAATCATTAAATTAAACACATTCCAGTTTGTACTTGAATGCATGATGCATATAATATGGATAATTAGGTAGGTACTATTCAAACCTAATTTTATAAATCGCTCAGTAACCACGGGTCGACAAAATTCGCACATAGATAAATACTGATTAAATACAATATAGTTAAATTATTTATTAATTTAAATTAGAAATCAAGTTTGTTGAAGTTTGCACAATTTATATATTTATTTATGCACATAGTGGAAAAATATTATAATTTTATTTCAGTCATTAACTCTTTGACTTGTTATCATTATCACTATGACATCCTTTCTAAACGAAACATAGTATCCCAAACGGTTCACCCGGTTAGACAAACTGCTACTATAAAGTATTTAGGTATATTATATAGGTTTTAATAGGTTATAATAGGTTTTAATAGTTATCAAGACATTTTAAGTATGGGAAAGCCATGCTACTGTAAATTCCTAACCCCAAAAGGCCGGGCGGGAGGAAACGCCTGGGTGTCATCACTGCGAGGACCGCCCTGAAGACACGGTGGAACACACTGTAGCGGAATGCCCTACATGGGCTGAGCACCGCCGTGCCCTCGGAGAAGTGATCGGCGATGGAGACCTCTCGCGTCCGGGCCTAGTGCAGACCATGATGCGGAGCGGACTGGGATGCCGTCTCCTTTTACGAAGCAGTCATGCTAGCTAAGGAGGAGGCGGGACGCGTGAGGCAGCGAAGCACTGCCTCCTTGCAACCCAGCCATCGCGAAGGACACACCGGGTGTCGGGGATCGCGAGACGATCTCCAGCCACCGTGAGCGCGGGCCTGCGGACGGCGAGCTTGGGTGGCTCTCCGTCCGACCAGAAACAGACCCGAGCGTACGGCGCTTCGCGTTCCGCGCGCGCCTCAAAGAGCCTTCAGACCACCACAGATGGGGCCCAATAAGGCCGATGCCGATTCGGAGTCGCGAAGAGCCTATACGGGTTACCGGTGCTCCGGCTCGAAGTGCAGGAGTAGGAACGGGGTGGTTTTTAGTCAGAAAAAGTCTGCCAACGCAAGCACTGTTTCACGTCGGATTTCTGTGAGGCCGTGGTATCAATCAATCACTGACATTCGTACCGAAGCTTGGCTCCCCTATACTGGGCTATTCCTATGAAGTAATCATTTTATAACAGCAACATTCTAGTTAAAGTACGACTGTTTTATGTTTAAAAAACACTTACTAATTTTCTCTTCACAATATTAGCATTTATTTGTTCCAGTTGTTTGTTAAAAGTAAATATTTAAATACTGTCGCTGGCCAGTTATTTTATTACATTTGCGGGGTCCACGTTGGTGTTTTCACTTCGCCTGTTTATTGGGCAAACGTGGCTCGCACATGTGCCAGCACGTGTCGAGTTGAGTGTAGCCAGTCGAATAGAATGTGTTTACTATAGCCAGCCTTTACTTTGCACATAATCATTATTAGTATCGAATGTATTGAAGGTAAGAAAGTATGCATAAAGATTTATTAAGTGTGTCTTATTTTAGTATTGGTACAAAATCAGCCTCAACATCCTGGCTGCTATCTCCAAATGTAGGAATCAAAATGAATAACCAATTGCAATCCGAAATATGTGGAATAAGGTCGATTTTTGAGATTTGAGCATGAATGGACTGTATGGAGGTTTTGTCAACAACAGATATCGATTCAAAGATTTTGATTAAGACTGGTTATTAATTTCTGCTACATATCTGTATATTATCTCCCTAGAAATAGAAGTTTCACACACTTTTACAGAGTTATGGACAAGTATATTATAGACCTATCCTAAGTTTTATCCCGTTAAAGTTTATAAAATTGTATTGTAATTGGAAAATTGTATGTAAAGGTTATATTTATTGTCTGAAATCAATCAATGTTTTATCTAATTCCATTATAATTATTTTCCATATATTGTCTTTCATTTAAACAATAAATATTCATTAATCAGTAATAAAGTTATGCTACAATTCAATTGAAATTATAATAAAATTCATGACAATTGAATTATGGTATGTACTGATTATGACAAGTACAAGTACAGTTAATATAAAATGTATTACATTACACGAGGTACCTACTAGAATTACAAGAAAAATTGTTGTTTAATGGCTACTTCGAAACCTGCAATTGTTTCAGATTACTTACTACGACTTCAAAAGTCGAGTCTAATTATTCATAGGATTGGCGGAAATAAATAAAAGAGAAATTATGAATACTTAAAATATTGTTAGATTCGTGACCAATTGTTGAACTAGGATCTCGTACGGAATCTTCCTCAGTTACCGACTGGTTTTGGTACAAAATATTCTAGTAGACTCGACGTGACATGCTTTCTCAAAATATTGAATAATCTTTATGTAACGTAATCGTATTAATATTAATGGCGGATTTTTGCTAAAATTTATGAGCATGTTTTTGCGAAGATTCATTCAAATGTGTTATCTGTTCCTATATTAGGTATTGGCTAACATAATAATCTGCCTAATGTTCATAAATATGTTACTTTTACAAAACGCATACAGATTTTTTTTTATTAAATAAACCGGTTAACGAGCAGATGGATCACCTGATGCTAAGCAATCGGTGCCGCCCATGGACATCAGAAACACTAAATGCGTTACCATCCTCTTATACATCAGGAATATGAGGATTATTGGAAATTCGGGGATTGGGGCAATCGCTCCAATCGGACAGGGACCCGGATTGGGTAGGTACTTTGGTACCCCTACCCCCTACGATTGGACCTCCGGTTACCTCAGTCACACGACAAAAAACAGTGCAAGTGTTGTTACACGTCGGTTTTCTGCTCAGCCGTGGTATCACTCCGGTCGAGCCGGCCCATTCGTGCCGAAGCATGGCTCTCCCACACTTAAGTACATTGTTGAACTAGGATTCCTGACGACATCTTCCTCAGTCACTGACTAAGCTA